GAGAGAGAGAGAGAGAGAGAGAGAGAGAGAGAGGGATGTACTGGATTATTCCTTTGGCGGGATGCCTGTGGTAGGTCGATTAAAAAGACACAGCATTCTCGTACCCAGTTCCTAGTCTTATAATCTAAGAATAGTAGGGTCTGAGTGGACTGAGTGCGAGGATGAAATACCCGAGAGAGATTGGTGACTTGGTGGTCTGAAAGAGATTGGCGATAAGTCACCAATCTTCCTCATCTACATTTTAACACAGGGATTTTGTGAAGGAAGGGTATTCCTTTTCCAATGATGATGATGATGGACAGGATGGTCACTACCAGGGTTTCTTTACACCCTCGGTGGTTCTTTTACGTCACCCCGATATTGGTTATTAAGTAATGATGAAGCGTGGAGAGACGGGATCGACATTTAAAGTGGTCATCCGAGCCACTTGAAAGTTTGACCATTTGCAAATGTAAATACAAAGGCAGCACTTCCTCCTCAGTTATTTTAAGACCATGAGTGTTGGTCCGTCCGGGACTCAAACCACGACCTCCAGCAACAAAGTCCGATGCTCAACTAACTGAGCCGACCTAAAAACATCGATCCACAGGTATCCCGAGGACCAACTTATACAAACCTTATAACTTGTGACTCTCCCATAATCGTTATCTGGCGGGCTCCACTCTAATCCTATCGATGTACTGCTCATAGCATAGCCTCGAACGTTTTTGGGTTTGGCTGGTGCTAAAATGACAATCATAAAATCGATGTATTACAATTCATTCCGTATGTTAACATCACAACAACACTGAAATATCCATGCAAAATTTTGTCAGTTCGGTTTGAAAACTTTAACAGATTTCATGTCTGGAAAACGTAAGGAAAAGTGAGTACCATGCGACCGTATCATGTCCGAGCAATCTGATTGGCTGAGCAGTAGGGTTGCAGGTTGTGACTGGTTTAACGGTTGTCAATTCGGACCATGACCGTGCTGTATCTTTTAACAGTCTACGAAATCTACTCTAATGATTGCTGTAGTTTTTACGGACACCTCTATATTAAGGACACCTCTATATTAAGGACACCTCTATATTACGGACACCTCTATATTACGAACACCTCTCTATTACGGACACCTCTACATTAAGGACACCTCTATATTACGGACACCTCTATATTACGGACACCTCTATATTA